AAAGATCGCATCGTCTGGACAAAAAGCTAGGGATTGCTTTCCGGGGGGGGGGGGGTTGAAGTTTTGTAAAAATTGGCAAGTGGTGTTTAGGTTAAGTAGAAAATGGTGGAGGTGAGCGTTATTTGAGCTATTATACAAGGCGAGATTTCCTCGCTGTGTGATGAACATGTTTAGTGTTTTCCGATCTTTTCGGCCTGCCTATTCTTCCCTGTTTAAAACGTGGGTTTAAAATCACAATAACCGTCCTGCATAAACTCATAATTTACATGTACGTATTTAGCACAATCCTCCGATTGTTTCGTACATCACGTCTCACTTTTTATCGTCTGAGCATGTGTCGAATTCAAGATTCTATCAGTTTCAGGCTAACATTATACCGTACAAAATATGTAAATCACACAGATCGATGTGTTTTCTTTTCTGTTTGTGTCCTTGTTACTGGATAATAGGCCTGTAAAACAACTTTATGAGCTAGACCGCCCTAAAGAGATCAAATAGCTGGGCTGAAAAAAACCCATCCCATATTCGAACTTGAGTTGATAAGAGGCGGAGATAAAAGCGGACATCGTGTTTCACAATGTATTTATAAATATTGATGAGGCAGAAACCCGTGTTGCTTGCAGTTGTAGGAAATTTTCATTCGTATATATCGACTTAAAACTGCAAAGTTTGCTTTTAAGTTACTGAACACTGATAACTGTTAAATACACCCTAAAAACAACCATATTAAAAACATTCTTGGCCATCAACAAAGTTCAATCTGTTCCGATTCATTACAGTTTAATTAAAGTAAAACAACACCGTCTTAAGTGTAAACAAAAATTAAAAAAAAAGCTAATATATTGTTTTAAAGTTCTTATGTATTGAAGAGATTTTATGTAGTAATGGCCAACATCGTTTTTGTCCTCTTATTAAACATTTACAACTGTACAATTAACTACAAGGTAAACATGACAATACAAAAATTGACTGGCATAGTCTTAGTCTTGACCGGAGAAGTTACTTAGTAGTGACACTCCGATATAGTTACAAGCACTCATCAGTTAGGACACCGGTTTTCGGTCGGGATGTTTATTATCAGGAAGAGAGACTGAGAAAAGTTGGGATGAACACTGAGCGAGGAATGATATTTGTTATATCGGGATTTTATAGCGGGGGTAGCACAAAGTCATGGTGAACGGTATGGTTGGTCACGGAGAAAGCAATTGCAATACGGATTGTTTTGGACTGGAAGGATTGGATTCCATTGATGCTTGAGCTATGCTCCATATTTTGTTCAGGAACACTGGATCATGGATGGTCTTGAAGAAGAAAGCAAATTCATTTGTTACTGCCATGATTTCGGCATATTTTAAGGTCTTCATCAGGGCAAAACTATCTGAAATATGTGTACAGATTGACATATTTAAGGCGATCTTAAATTTCCTTGAAGGTTGACTCAGTCCCACATTGCGAAGAACTGTCTCCATATTTTGGACTGAATAATCCATATCGGTAGTTGGTCTTTGGTCAGCCTAGACCAACCTCAATGGTTTAGTCGGCCTGATGATGAACCTATACTGGCAAATAACTTGTAAGGTTTCCTCTTGGATCATTTTGGACTGATGAAGGCACAAGATTCTGTAAATATTGGCGTACTGATAGCAAAAAATACGCTCCTTATGCAAAAAATTTAAGATCTCTTAATTAAAGTTAAAGTCTTATTAAAGTTAAAGATCTAATCTTTCGAACCGTATTTAACTGACGTCTGCTTCGAAGTGATGAACGGCAAGGAGTAGACATCAGAAGTATCATCCAACAAGGGAGCGTTCTTGGTCCTATCCTATATACTATTTACACTGTTGACTTTTATATACATCCCGACACCATTATAACAAACGAATGATAGCGCAATTGTCTTCTAACCCGTATCCTATCAAAGCACACTCCAACATCCAAGAACACCTTGAGCTTAACTAGTACATGAAGTAGAGGACAAGACGTACGGGAAAAATTGTACCCAATGTACATTTACAATGTGCCTTGAACTAACAGTCTTGCACTTCACTGTACGTTAACAACAAGGACCGACATTCACTCAAACACTTTTAACTGTACCTAGGCAGCAGACTGACGTGAAATCCCCACACAAGACTAAAGAGACCATAAAAGACTCAGACAACTACGTAGATTTTAAGAATCGAAATCCGTTTGACTCTATGAAAGGCCTTACTTTGACCAAATTGGACATACGGGGTAGAACTGTGGGCGCTAAACCAACATCCAGCGAAACCAATCCTTTAAATCAAAATCTTCAGATAAATTTTCAAACCTCCTTACTATACTAACAAACAATCTCAATATTTCTTTTGTCTGAGGTGATCCGATCCCACATCAAAATGTTCCACACAAAGCACTAAGTCGTTCCTTTCCATACTGCCCAAGCTCTATCTACATTTTTCCATCACAAGAATCCGCCATGTTGCCTTTAACTACGATAGCCTCGAGACCTCCTTCCATCTTAATCTCTCCTATTGATTATCAGCGTTGGCTGGTGTCTTGAAAGCTAAATGTATCAATGTTAATGTAAGAAGAAGTCTTAGATTTTAATTCTGTCTCATTTAGAAATAAGTCTTCTCCTTACCAATTCATAAGTGATATTGACGGAATAAACGTTTTGACCGATGGTAGTGTTGGTTTGCGTCGTTCGCTCCTGCTTGTACGAGTCTTGTGGTTTTAGATTTACTGCAAATCTTTCTTTAGAAATTTTTTATACGAAAAATTTTTCCTGTGCAAATTCCGTCGGTTGGATTTACCCAACTCCACTAGAAGATGAAATTCTGAACGAATTACTGATTTTTATTTAAAACTGTTATGAACCAATAAGCGTTATTTCTTTGGCGCTAGCGATAATAAATCCGTTTACAAAATGAAAAACATTTGGAGTACTATAAAAGTGAGAGGTTAAATAAATTCGAATCATTTTGGTATGCTTCGTGTTGGAGGATGAACGTGCTACAGAGGGTACAGTTAGCCTTCACATCTGCTAGTGTTGTGACCGGGAGAAAAAAAACATACTCTGGTATGTACAGGTTATAAATAAAGTAATTACAAAAAATTTTAAAAAAAGTAAAATTGATCCAAGAATAAATTGTGTTGCGCAGTGATGAAACTGTGATTGTTTAGGAACATTCAGAACTGACGGGCCAAAATAGCGAGAATTGGCTGACCAAAATCATCAGAAACGATATAATTATTTTTTATATAACTGACGATACCGTTTTACTATTGGATATCTTGTGGTATGGCTGTTATTAATTAAATTTGTCAACACAGCAAATTCAAATCATGACATTCAATGTAAATACCTAAAAATTATTTACGAGTAATAATGTGATGAGTAACATTTTAAAGATGTTAATGGAAAATGTGTGACATCTGCCAGAACGTTGACAAGAGGGGACTGATTTCACCCGGAAACTAGTCCGAAAGAGGATGGAAAACTAGTTGAAGAGACCTTGGGAAAACCTGGTGAAAAGTTATCCGAATTGGGCCATTTGCCGAGTGTCAGTCGGAATGTGCCCGAGTGGGAGGAGGGGACAAAGGTGCAATAACGGAAATGAGAAAGAGCGAACGAGGAGCGGAGCGGACGACGAGAAGAAGAGCCGGGAAAGTCTGGAGGAGAGACGGCGAGGGGCTCGTGATGAAATGCTTTAACGGCTCGTCCCGGCCTTTAATTGCAACATGTACTCGCCCCTCTTTATGCCCGGGAATCACGTACGTCCTAGCAAATTTGGCCCAAAGTCACCCACGCTTAAACTGCCCTCACAAAAACCCAACGAGCCCTCCTTTCTGCCGTTTCGACATGGGCTTTTCTCAGACCCAATTGAATTTTCAGACCGATTGTGTCTCGTAATAAAATCGCCTCTCTGTCGGACCAATGTAATGGAGAGTGAGTCCTGAAAATCAAGTCACGCTTATCCAAAAACTCATAAAAGATAGTTTCCCCCTCTTATAAAATCTGAAGGAAAAAGTTATGTCAAAGTTTCATTGTTTCCCAACTTAACGCAGCTGTCTATGAAACGCCCAGACAATTTCAATGAAATTTCCTCTAGAATTCTGCAAGGTGTGTGTTTTATCTTAGTTGTTGTGGATAATTTTGTTCTACCTACACTCGTTGCTTTTGTCACTCAAGCGATTTTATGCTTTTCGTCATCATCAGTGACTATTTGGTTCGTTGGATCCCTAAATTCGTGAAATTATAATTTGTCTGGTCTTATTTTGCTTGCTACAGTTATAATTCACATTTCATTTTAATCTGTACAATGTTTTAAAGAAATGTTTGTGTGTTCATAGGTTTTTTGAGTTTTGTTCGTATATTTGTAGGTTTTCAACTGTTTAGTCTTTTTTTTAACGTTATATAGTCATTTAAAGTTTGTCTCTATTGATGAGGCTTAGTCGTGGTGTTGTGCCTAGTTTGATTTTTTCGTCGTTGTCTTTAAAAGGCCTTTTATGTTCTTTGTTGTATTATAGTACTTCTGTTTATCTTTTTACCTGATTTATTTTTTGTCCACGTCCGCACGTTGTTATTGGATGTCCTGGTTTGTTTCTCCCCAGTTTTTATAACTGGTTGATAAAATAGATTAGTTAGTTGGTACATCTCTTTCTCAAGGTACGTGAATCCATTTAATGCTTGTTTGTTTTAGTTTATGTCTTCTGTTTATTAGCTTATTGTCTTAAATATACACCAACATATAATAAACTGTCATTTTGCAACGGGTCAAAAAATATTTTACCTTTAAAGTTGTAAAGTTCAACTCATAGACATATATCGCTGTGTGGGAAGTCGACTTAACATATAATGAACCGTTTATCATAAAATATTATCATCTTTTCCCATCGCACTGGCAAAATCTGTGTATAATTGCTTACTAAAAAAAGAAATACCAAGCAAGCAGGAAGCAGATATATTATACATTTAAAAAAATCCACATTGTACTGTTCTAAGTTTTCAGTACGTTTGACTATAAATTATCTTGATTTTTGTGTAGGTCATCGGTTTTTCGGTCTATTCTTACATTTATTGTTTACTTATAGATTTCAATTAAAATGTTTGCTTTAGGCAATTACACGATTTGTCGAGGTTGCTCAAGATTTCACCCTACAATTCTTCCTGATTCGTTATGAGGGACTGTGTGCTCCTCTGCTATTTAGCTTTACCACTATTAGCATCCATACCTCATATTTTAGCTTCTAAATGATGAATGCTTTCCTTTGACTTTGAGTAGAAACCTTTTTTTAGATCTTCACCGTTTATCTGTACTGAGGTTTCTTCTAGGCAGACCCTGATTGTTAGATTCCATATGCCTATCGTCCCGGTAATAGACCTGCAATAAACCAGTTTCTTAAGCTTTGCACGTAAATTAAGTAAATTAAATTAATGCAAGACTTTCATACTAAAAACCTTTGTTCACGTCCTGGAGTATGGTTTCATCAGTTATGGTTTTTAACTTGATCCGTTCATCAATAGCTCCTATGTATGTTTGTTTCGCTTTCTTATATTGCCTGGATCGAGCGATTATCATTGCCTGTAAATGGAAAGATTCTTATTGTTGGACCTTCACAGTAACATACATTAAGTTCTGTGGTTTGCTTTTTTTTTTGGCATAACCAACGTTGTCGATCTTCTGTCTATCGTTATATTTCATATGCTAATGGGATCGACCAGTTAATAATAGCTAATATAGCAATAATCCTGTTTTTGACTTGAATTTATTTTTCCTGTTTTGAATTTATTTCAGCTTATCTGAAGTAAAGAAGGCAAGAGTTTTATAACAATAACATTTGCCTACCCTGGGGGTCCATCAGGTATGGGCTTTAACTTGATCTGTTCATTAATTACTCCTTGGTAATTTTTTTGCTATATTTGATGGAATTTGCTTTTATCTTTTACGTAAACGGAAACACTCTTCTTGTTAGACCTTCTCAGTAACAAATAATATTTACTGCCTACGTTTCTCGGTCCGTACCTACATATACTGTCTTCTGCTTATCATAATATTTCCATATGCCTTTCGAGCAGACCAGATGAAAGACCAGCAATAATCCTGTTTTTCCGGCTTTACTGCAGCAGTCTGTAGTAAAATAAGAGAGAAGATGTCTTTTTCCTACCTATGTCCTGGGGTCTTGATCCATCAGTTTCGTATCTTTAAATTGATCCGTTCATCAATTGCACCTTCGTACATTGATTTTGTTATATTTTCTGGATAATACTCCTGCCTTTGACCTAAGTGGAACATTCTTTTTGTTAGATCATCACAATAACATATTATATATTCTGTAGTTTTCTTTTGATGGCAGAATTTACATAGGCTATCTTCTGTTTGTCATTATATTTCATATGCCAAAACAGGAAGGGAAGAAGGTGTATTTTGCCTGCTGCTGTCTTTGGGTGTTGTTTCATCCTCTATATGTTTGTTTTGCCATATTTGCTGGATTGAACTTTTATTTTTGACCTATATAAGTGGAAACTTTCTTCTTGTTAGACCTTCAGTAACCTGTAAAACGTACTACGGTTTTCTCCCTTTCTTGACCCAACTTACGGCTATCTTCTGCCACTGCCAATAATTTTAAAGGGTTATTAAGTAGTCAGTTAATTAGCAAACTTGTAATGATTTTGAGTTTTATCCGGCTTTGCAATACCAGGAAGGCTAGTCTTTTATACCAAAATAGTTTGGCTATCTCCGTCCTCCTTTTTTTTTAAATTTTACAGGATGCTTAGGGTTATGCTGGTGTGCTGAGATATCCTTCTTGGACATAGGGCGGTACCCGCGGTAATACCTCAGGTGCCTCAGGTGAGGCCAATGTTTTGAGCGAAGCTATCTTGTAGATTGAAGACTATCGCAGATTATGTGATACTATCAGAGTAGATCACTATCTTGTTATCTTTTATTCCTTGCCTTTTAATCTCTGTACCACCTAATACCTTGACAATTGTTACATGAGAGATGGATTTTATCACTCAATTCTCTTTTATAAAGTTCACGTACTAAACAGTCAGTGTTAGCTGGTAATCCCTTCTACCGTGTTACTCTTTCTGGTACTATAATTTACTATTTATTTGTGTAGAGATTAGTGACCGTTAATCGATGGTTATTCAGATATCGTGAGATGCGGTCGGGAGTGATGTAGGTTTCAGAAAAACATTTTCTTTATCGTGCCCGATAAAGAAAATGTTTTTCTGAAACCTACATCACTCCCGACCGCATCTCACGATATCTGAATAACTTACTATTTATTTACCAAGTTATACGTACATGGCATTCTATGTGCATTTCTAACATTACAATTTTTTATGTCCCAATAGTAATATCGTTAATATTTATTCGATGGTCCACTTTGCTTTATTGCATGTGCCATGCTTTATGGCATATATGATCAACATTGATACAGATATTTGTTAATCCAAACGTTAATAAAACCTTGCTCGTCGTCTCAAGAGTGATTTTGATAAATTGCCGTTATAAAACGTAATTAATTTTTAAATTTGCATATGGATTAAGGCTAGGGCAAAATTAAATATAATAAAGAGAATGCGACAAAAATATTAATGATCAGGAAAATATTCGCGTGGGATTGAAAATTAATCAACGAGATAGGTCGGATGTTTTATCTTATTTTTTGAACCTAGGATTGAAATTCGCTCTTAACCTTCAGTAGGAATTAATTTTTGCAGGCATGCAAAAATCGACAGATTAATTTGATAGGTGGGCATCATAATGGTGTAACTGTTCCTCGTATGGATCCTTAGAAAGTAGAGGGCCGTCCGGGGCGGTGGAGCCACCGAGAGTTCAAGGACTGCCAAGGCCATTTGGGAATTATTTATTTCTACGCACGTCCGTTCGTCTTTTCCTGCGAATTGGAATTCCACCGTGACGGAACGGCGAGGAAATTATGCAACTCGGAAACAAATTTAAGTTGGCGACGGTACCTTTTTAATGCGTTCGGCTGCTACTTGGACGCCTTATAACGGAAGCCCATTGGATTGCCCGAAATTACTGAAATCACACAGTAGCAAGTGTTTTTCTCTCCTACAACAGGAGATAATCAAAGTGTACGGTGCACGCATGGCGGCTCTTGGAATGTATATTTGTTAATTGGAAAGGCTCATTGAACTTAAGAGTTAAGCCACACGTGTGGCGGATTCTTTCCCTTCGAAAGAAATCACTCTCGATTTAGAGAAACAGGACGAAATAATAGCGCCCTTGATAGAAATCGATTCGTCGAGAACATATTTCCAACAGTAATCCACTGGAATCCTTTTTAATGAGAAAGAATTCAATTATGGCTTCGCAACCTTTACCAATTACATCGAATTATCTAAACTTTGCTGTCCTCATTTAGATTTCCATCTAAATAGCATTCTGCACATTTCTTTCCAACTATCTGTGCATCTAATTCTCTCAGGTTTACGCTTGAAAGAAGTAGATTCTCCAAATGGTGCACGAACAGTTCATGAGATTTTCTTATCAGAAAAATCTTAGTAACGAGTTTTCCTTAAACATAATCCGGATGTCGGATCCTCTCAGAATACACATCCTTGAGAGTTTTCGGAATTAAAGATCTACCTTAATTTAGGTAATGGTCTGTAGGGAATAAAAGATAACGTACTTAAGAGAGAGTGGGTTGGGATGTAAAAACTAAAAATTGACAGTGGACACTTAATTTGGCCCAAAACCTACGTATGTACCTAGTGGTTTATATTTAAAAACTAAAAACTAACTAAAAAAGTTGATACACGAACATTGTTAGCCTAAAACCCCCGTATATGAATAGAACGTTTGCTCGATGTGTCCCATTTAATTGAACATTCCATTCCTTGGCTCCGTATAAAGAGCGTGAAAGCATGCCACTCGATACGAAAATGTGCTGGAGCACGATTGCGAGTATTTGGGCCCCCTGTTCTGATTTTGGTAGGAACAGGGCTGATTTATTGTACAATATGAACTAACAGATATCTCGTTTTGCGTTGGGTATATTGAAATTGAATGAATTTATTAGCTTGAATGGGTAGAGTGAATAGGCTGAAGGAGGACTATTTAATGACTCCACCCTAATTGAGTGAATATGTAAATAGAAATAATGTATTTAAGAGTGAGTGAGAATGGTTTTAGATTTAAAAAACCCCATTGGGTATGAAATATGATCTAGCTGTTGATATCCCTTGGAGCCTCGGTGGCTGGATGGATCAGACGGAGGTCTGACCAAAGGTGGGTGATTCGCGGCGTACTGGTAATTTATTGTAAATTTCACAAAAACTGGATTGCCGACGGGTTGAGAGAAGTTATAGGTTTAGCTATAATCTTGTATAAATCAGTATATTATGAGATAATTGCGTAAAAATTTTACGTTTATGTGTATTTTATATTGGTAAGGAAGTTTGACGACGTAATTAGCCGTATCGCAAAAAATTATAACATGCTGTGTAAAACGAGTATTCCTTCGAACACTAACGATCTTGAAAAAATATGCCCAAGTAGAAATATATGCGAGCCTGCTGATTTATCAGGGAAGGGCCGTGCTGTCCAGCATAAACAGCACGTATAAATAAATCCTAATGAAGAGGCCTTGTCGTCTTAGGACGAAACGCTGAGACGTCTCCTCCGGCTAATTGGCAAGAAGACGGTGGGAGAAGGTCGGGTGCAAGGTCGATCCCTTTTCCACAGCCAACTCCTCGGCTCCACTTTAAATCATCACGATCTTAAGAGCAATTTTAATCGTGAAAGCGATAGTGAATCGGCCTCCGGGCTATCTTTCATCGGGTCAAAGCTCCGGCGGATAGATTATGGCCTATCTTAATCCGTGATCGTCAAGCTTAGATCGTCTTTTGTAACGGAAGGGTCTTGTCTATCCGATGAAAAACTATAACAGCTCTTTTCCAGCTGTACAAGATACCGTTAATAACAAGTGCGAGGTACGAAGCATCTTATGCAAATTACGCAATACGGATGGAAAAGAATCCATTGTTGTCTAATTTTTTCATTTAACGTGATAAATTTTTTTATGTTCTGGCTTGCTTAAATATGGGATGATATTAAATATAAAATATTCAATAAATTCGTTAATGGTAGCATAAATCATTTTAAGAGATTCCCATAGAAACATCTTGGAGTTCTTCTGTGAAAAATATTATTTCTTAAGGTAGAAGCGAGTTCAGTGTGCCAATAATTGAAGCGAATTTAATAAAAGACTAGAACTTCTTGGAGGACATTCTATCTGTGGAAACAACGTGGAATTCTTACCATAATACGCATACTCCGAGGTCTCACTGTCGATGGCCCCGACTGTCCTCGGACAACGCGTTCGGGGTTGCCGGCCGATATGGTGACTCGGCGAAACCATTGCAGTTCTTCCTCTTTCTTTGTGCTAACGCTCTTCGTGACTAACGCTCTCGTGTATTCAAGAAAATCCTCTGGGTCCGTTGCCCGCATCATCACTATAAACAGGCCTCAAATTTGCCGAGTTTTCTCGTAAGTACAGCTTATATGGTGGATGCCCAGCTGGATATACAAGACTGCTATATTTAAGTTTAGTGATAAGATCTTCTTCAGAGGTCATATGGAACAAAAACAACTTTTTGAGCTGTGGCGAGCCACGTTGTTACTCCGTATTTGTATTAATTTCATTTTTTAATACAGGCCTTGATGAAAAGGAACAAACCTCTGGGAGCTCCGGCACAGCCCCAAAAATTTGTTTTTGTCCTGGCCTCTGAACGTCTTATCACCCAAACTTAATTTGCTCCAGGTTTTAAGTTTTGAGGCTAAATATACTTGCTCAACTGGAAAAATAAAAAACATTATATATACCAAGTCCTCCAGAAAGTACTCTCGTGAGCAAATAAAAAAAGATTAGTATTGAAAATATTTTATTGATTGAAATCAATTGGCTTAGCTTAAGGCTTGGTCAACTTAAGGTCAATTAAATCAATTGGCTTGGTAAGGTTAAGGTTAAAAGTCGGTCTCTTTACGACCTTGTGCACCGCGACCAATATTGGTCTATTGTGCAGATTACTTCACATAAAAACATTAAATCTTAGATGAATAACCACATCCGTACCAAACCTAACCTCCATTATGGTTTAGAACTCTTCGTTAACCTTAAGACTTAAAAAAAAGTTTTGGGATGTGATAAAAAGTTCTATTAAGAGCTCTACCTTCAGGAAAGCTGATTGAGAATATTGAGTTTAGAATCTCTGAACAGGTTTGGCTTAGAACCTATTTAATTTCATCTATCAGTTGTTGCTTCTCATGATTTGGTGCTTCAGCATTTCTTCACCACCACGAAATTTCAAAAACTGTACAACAATAACCATTCTTGTAACGTTCGACCTCTTCAATAGGCTAGATAAAAGCCATCTTTACAAAGAGAAAATATTGAAAACAGTCGTCTTAGTCATTAGTTAAAATCAAACTAACAACAAATACATACATGTTATACAATAAATACAGCCCTTATGAGTTCCCGTGTATGACATGCAGGATTTACTTTTTAGAATTTCTCTTGACCAGATAACGTTATTGAAAAACCAAAAAATACGTATTTAATACTTTTTAGTCTATTTGTAAATTTTTATCGGTTTTTAAAATTTGTTACAACTTTGAAATTTTAAATGAAAATTATGTATATGTTTCAAAGAATTAATCTTTTTATGTAAGGTCTTGGTTGAAATGAAAACGTCAGTGTCACGAGCGGGATTCGAACCCATGACCTTCGGCTCAATACGCCGCTGCTCTAACCACTTGAGCTATCGTGACAAAGTCGTGGGTTGGTACTACTGTGGCAGACCGTTCAAAATCATCTCAAGAAATTCAAAAACTGACTAGCAAATGAAAATATTTAATAATAAAAGGAAATTGAGATATTTCTTTTCACATTCCATAATTTTCTTATTTTTCGACCAATATAAACTCTGATTTGGCCATCGTTTTCAGTCTAACACATCCTTTAAAACAGTGGGTAGAGTCATTTAAAATTTCTAAGTTGTTCTGACGACAAAACTGTTAAAAAAGCGATGGCAATTAAAAACTAAACTAAAAAAATATTGATTCCTTTTTTTTTAGTTTTTCGATAGGTTATCAAAAAATCTACCTCACGAAGGCGACGTCAAAACAGCAAACTTTGCGAACGATACAATAGTTTGTCACAGTAGGAAATGGAGTCATGTCTTCAGGACAACAAATCCCACAAAAGATGGAAAGAAAAATAGCAGACGAGCGTACGAAATGATTCTCCTAAACTTTACCAACCGGAAAATCTGACAAACTAGCATTTTTTATTAGTATTATGGGTTGAGAAGTTGCTTGAAGTTTGTGAACCGTCGATGCTGACAAAACAACTATCCTGACAGCAAATACGTTAAAAAATCAGTAAAAATTTAAAACTAGACTAAAAAAATATTAAAAACGTATTTTTTGTTTTTCGATCTGCTCAAGTAAAATTCAGCCAGCCATCTAAAAATGGACACCCTGTATATACAAATTTAAATTAAAAGGTCTTCCTTTTTTCTTCTAATTCTTCCTTCGAAATTATGCCCTAATAATGAAATCGCTTTTGAAAAATAAAAACCACAGTACTTATCAACCTACTGAACATACCAAACGTTCAAACGTACCATTTCCATAGAATATATAACTGTTAATATTCAGTATATATTTACTAATACATTTAATTTTTTTTGCAGGTAAGGACAAATCCCAGGTTCAAAGACGCACAAGAAATTGGAAAACAAAGTCAATGTTTCAGACTTTTGTTTATTGGACTTTTAAACACAGCCATGTCTCATTTGCGGTGCTTTTTTTACAGTAAGAAGTCTTTAAGTAACAACACACACTTCTCTAATTTAGTTAAACTAGTGCTTTTCATAAATTGTACTTACATTCTTTAAAAATGTAACAACCTCCCTATATACACGACAGTTCCGTGACCCAAATATTATGTTGTAACTAAAGGGATTATCTAGGTAGCTAGACAGCTTTAAATATTTTTTTCTTTCTTCGGACAAACCAATAAATAAATGTTCCATTGAACATAGTTCCAACGCTTGCATCAATCTGAATCAGATCTGTTAATTTTACAAAGGTACTGACCGTGTTTGGCATAATTTCATAGGGGTCTAGCTTCAATTTTGCACATCTTTTTACCGGAAATTTGTTGAACCAGCCTCCTCAATGTTAGGTTGAATGTTATTGAAAAATCTATACCTTGTTCTAATTTTTCAAATTTTTTTAAATATCCGTTTTCGATTTCGGAGTATTTGATATAGACGATGTTTTCCTGGTGCGCAGCCTCTTTAGTCAACCTGTCCACCCTATCATACTCAATGCCAACGTGAGCCTTAACCCAGCAAATTTGATATTTTTACCTCTCAGCCTCAGAAAACTAATTTTACGTAAAACTACGAAAATAACGATTATCAGCTGCATGAAATTTTCGATTTATTATTATTATTCGAGTTATTATTAAATATATTTATGTAAAATATGTATAAACTATTTTTGGTTTATTAACAGTGATTTACTGAAGTTCTTTGCTTTTTGAAAGTAAAAATTATATCAAAGACATTATATTTAGTGGTCTATTGACCAAATTACTTCTTTCAATTAATTAACTTTTTATGGAAGGTTTTGTTGAAAATGAAAAATCTAGTGCCGCGAACGGGATTCGAACCCACGGCCTACGTCTAAATACGCTGCTGCTCTACCACTTGAGCTATCGTGACTTCGATCCACTCGGACACCAACTCCCCATCTCAACTTACAACCTTTTGAATTTTCCCTCCTTTTTGCCATTTTTTTTTTATTTCCACCAAAACCTTAGATAAAAAGATTAATTAATTGAAATAAGGAATCCTCAAGAAAGGAGGAAGTGGTCAATAGACCACTAAATATAATGGATTTAATAAGTAAAACAAAGTATTACTTCACTAACAGCTCCCCGTGGCCACTTCATATGTTGTCGAGAATCGAACCTAATTATACAACATTTGAAAAATGGCAAAAAGGAGGGAAAATTCGAAAGGTTGTAGATTGAGATGGGGAGTTGGTGTCCGAGTGGATCGAAGTCACGATAGCTCAAGTGGTAGAGCAGCAGCGTATTTAACCGAAGGTCGTGGGTTCGAATCCCGCTCGTGGCACTAGATTTTTCATTTCTACCAAAACCTTACATAAAAAGATTAACTGTATCAAAGGTTATTCACTGTGAGATTTCCTCTTGATGTCGGCGTTGGGATGAATCTGTAATTTGTTCGTTTCTGATCATTTTTGTGTCCAAACTGCACATAGACCCACCATCGTAGATTGCGAAACGCCGAAACGACCAAATTACAAATCTTTATATAAGTTAACGCCTATAATTTTAAAAATTAGCCCCGATTTAATGACGCCTACGGACTATTTACATTCTACTCCACCTGCACGTGGAGTTTAATTGAACCTTTGCAGAATTCGGCCCGACTGCATAATAACAAAGACAAACCGCTTTTAAAGCAATCAGGACGAGATGAAAAAAACAGGCAGGGCAAGCATGAGAGGAGCTAAGTGCGGATAAAAATCGGAGTACAACCGGTCCTTCTCGACGACGGGCTTGATTCGCTGACGAGATAAACAACCAAACCGGCATGGGAAAAAGTCACTTTCGATACACTGACAGAATTATAGGCTTAAACAGGAAACATCCCCAGCCTTCGTAGATTTAACAAGAAATTAGAAACCTGTCGGGATTTTCAATTCAACTCGAATCCACCTAAATTACATATCACGAGGGACTTTTATGCCTTTTTTTCCATTGATTCCCGGGTAAATGTATCATTTCTAGCCTGGGAAATATATTAAAGGCGGGTAAATATTTCCCTCTCCTGTACCCTTCAAAATTATTCCAAGTTTCTTGACATTCAAACTTAAATAAATTCCATAAAATAGACAATGCTGCGCTCAAAAGAGAACAGACCATTCTAAGGTGTTGTTGGAGTACAAATTTTTTAGATCGGTTAATTAAATATTTAAATTGCTATAAAAATGGTGTATTACTTTTCCTGAGTTGTGTTTTGTTTGGCTGTTTCCGACTATTTTGGTTTGCCTCTACAAGATTTGTTCTGTATTGACAACATCTTTATAACTCGATGAGATGATCTAATAAGAGTATATATTAAATATGTAGCTAGGTCGTTTCTGATGACTTTGGTCCGCCTATCCTACTGGTTTTGGTCTAACAGACGTGTATCGGTTTCTGGCCATCTTCATTGGTGGGTAAGCAAGGCGAGGAAAAGACAGTTCTCAGGAGGAACTCACCTGGAAAAAGTGCTTTGACATTCCGTTCTTATAACCTTGACCGATCACTGTAGAGGCGATGAGTTATTCTAACTGGCCTACCAAACAGTTTACTGTTTCATAACGCCACAATCAATAATTGGCTAGAGTGAACTAGCAACTGTCAGACCACATCCTTCAGGATAGACCGGCCGGAAATTATCGTGAACGACAGCCCCACTATGAAATATAGTCATGTTCATCTCCGATCAATATGATCTGCCCTTTATCTTCAGTGGTTGGTCAGAGTTATAAGCAGAAAAGACTAAATAAACAAAACTACAGTACATCACTTCCCAGTCCCCAAGAGGAACCTAACCAATAATTTGATCGTTCAGATTATTTGTCTGTCATGACAGCTGTCCAAAATTTCAATTTACAAGAAGCAAATATTTAAATCTGTACATCTTCATCTAATCCCATCTTATCTGTACATCGATCGCAGTCTAAAATTATGAACATAGAAGCAAATATTTCAATATGTAGTTCGCTCATTCCCATAATTTTGGTGTGTCAGACGCGAGATTAATAATTATATTAAACATGCAATCGCACTACTAAAGATGGTGAAATGCCGAAACGCTCCCGGCAGACCAAAACAGTAAGACATGGATGATCGGAAACGATCAACCAAGAGGTCATCATAGGCAGACCTAAAAAAATCCGACTTTTTATACTTATACGAACAATAAGTAATGTTTTACGTACGTCGAAAGTGAATATGGAAATTATGACGTGATATTAGGATAAAATTACTATTAAAATACAAACGTAAGCTATTTTCAAAAAGGTCAAGAGACTGTTGAAGTTATAGCTATCTTCAGTTTTAGTTCTAATAACTTCGGTTGGCAAGATTAGCATGCTACTAGTAGATTTATTCAGCAGACTCTCAACAAGTACAATAACTAATAATTAAGTGAATTAGTAACAAACAAAGCCTTTCTTTGTAAAAACCATTCGCACGATTTTAAAGATTTAATACATCAATTAGGTAAACAAATATTTTCATTTGCTTACATAATTGATTGAATATTTTCCTTGGTAAATTAAAAAATGTCACAAAACTAATCTTTTATTGTTCTTCATAAATTCCTCTTCTGAATAAAACGTTTAAGAGGCCAGAAGAACTACGAACTTAAGGGTTTATGTTGCGGTTGAATGTTTTCCACCTCGGCAAGGTGCAAGATGCGCATACTCTCCGATCCCTCCAAAAAATAGGTTTTTGAAATGATTTCGAACTCAGGCAGGGTTGCGCCATCCCTACGGGTTTGGGTCCGCGTGGCGATCCTGTGCAACCGGCGCTTACATCGCATCGAGTTTGATGACCCCGAGAGCTAGCGGCCTTCCCAAGGACGTTGCCTTCCCCTCTTCGGGACACCGGCTGCTGCAGATCGCCACCCTGCCATTGTTGTAATAATATTGTAACTACTTTTGCAGTTTTTGTCGTTTTAAAAAAGTTAATTAAACAAAGAAAAGGATTTTGTCTAGCCATTAAAATATTATACTGAAGGGGTGAAAAATAAGTATCCGTATACTGTCTTTTAGACAAAAATCAACACAAAATAAATTTTGAATTTTATCATCTTTTAATCAGTTACAAGAAAAATTGGATTCATCAAGTAACGGGTACCAATGTTTTAGAACGGAAATGCTTAGACAAAATTAATCCTCAAAAATGATTCTAATTTCAATTTTTCTTTTTAAAAAATTGTAAGGATGATTTTTTCACATATTATGAAAATCCTTCAGAAAAAGTCGACACATTAAATTGAAACATTTTATTCAAATAATTTTACAGTTTTCTCTTTTTTTTAACAAGTTGCTTGTAATTTGAAATCATCGATTCTTACCGAAAACCGGTATCATTTTTTAGAATGTAAAGTTCTTTTCAAAGCGTGGAAAAAAATTCACCCATAAAAATTATTCCAAATTGAATTTTTATATTTAAAAAATATTTTAAGTATGGTATTTTTCACACATTAACAAAACTCTTTTTTTATTTTTTTTATAAACAAGTTGCTTGTTAATTGAAATCATCGAGTTCTGAACGAATACGTCAATATCTCCAGAACGAATCGACGAATTTTCGAGTTTCTGATATCAGTTTCTTTTAGAATGGAAAGGAAAAAAATGAGCGAAAAAGTTCATCCTCCAAAATTAATCGAATTTGACTTTTTCTTCTGAACAACAACAATACGTTCTGAACGAAAACTTCAGTGTCTATGGAACAGCATTTTTGAATTTCGTGTATCATTATTTTAAGAATGGAAAGGACATTCAAAATTCGTGAAAAGAATTGACCTTGAAAATTTATAGAATTTTTTCTATTTAAGAAAATTTTTGAGGACAAATGTTTTCACAAATTTTGAGTCCTTTAGAAAAAAATTAACAGAATTTAAATTTTCATATTTTATTAAATTGAATTTTCAATTTTCTCCTTTTTTTAACCAGTTAAATGATTAAGTGAAAAATTTGAACGAAAACCTCTCAATATCTCAGGAAGAGCTTTTTTTGAATTTCGTGTATCATTATTTTAAAAATGGAAAGGACAATACAAAATTATCACAAATTTTGTGGCCTTTAGAAAAAATTAATATAATTTAAATGTTAAGATTTTATCAAATTGAATTTTAATGTTTCTTCTTTTTTAACCCAGTTACATGATAATATGAAAGTGTTGAGTTCGGAACGAAAACCTTCGCGAATACAATTGTCGTTTAGTGCATCATTGTGTTTTAAGAGAGGAAAAGACTTAAAATTTGTGAAAATTAGAGCATTACACATTACAAGGTCAGCTTATCTGGCCGTAATGTATTTTATTTTCTATTGTTTTGGGTATTTGATTCAGCTCTTACAAGGTTGTCTGTTGTTATTTTAATAAAGGCTTGCAAAATAAATAAATAAATTCAATACAATAAGTGGAAAGGAAAGTTTGTGTTCGAAAAAATGATTGTAGACATTTAAATTTATTCAAAGATAAATCGAATTTTTTAAATTAAGATTGTTACACATCACAGAGTTAGCACATAACATAGGTTTGTATATTAGATAATTCATTTTGCACAAATCTAAAACAAACGAAAATTCATGTATATAAAGATATGTATTTATGAAATATTTCTTATGATTTTAAATTAATTTTTGAATATTTATAGTAGTACTAAAATATTAGTGATAATATTAATTTATTTTTATTACGAGCCTCGTAGACAGAAAACCTAAGAAAATTTTAACAAAACATATTTTAAAATAATTCTGGTTACACCATTCACTTTTATTTCATTATTTATCGAATTTACTTGTTCAGTCGCGACTATGCTACATTAAGAAATAAATCTTGACTTCATGATTTTTTATCCTATTGTAACCATAAATTGGTAATTTAGATTTTAATTTTAAATTAAATTTTCATGAACTGGTCTTATGACATTAAAAACAAATACGCGATTATCAATAATATAGGTTAGTATGCGATACAAGCACGATTTAAAAAAAATGTTTATACAATTTTATTTAAAACTTCAACAATTGGTAGATTTAAAAAGTGAGCTCCCTGGATTTTGATATTTCCATGTTGAGCTCTGCGGTGTTTGAGCATGTCACCTTTCTGCCTGTATCTTTTTCCGCAGATGTCGCAAATGTTGGGTTTCTCACCTGTATGAATTCTCTTGTGGACGGTGAGGACGTGAGAGCGCCTAAAGGCGATACCGCAGACGTCGCACTTGTAAGGACGCTCTCCGGTATGGATCTTCCTGTGCTGCGAGTACACGTGTTGGGTCATGAACGCCTTACCGCAGAACTCACACTTGTACGGCCTGTCGCCGGAGTGTTTTCTGATGTGGACGTCACGGTCGCCTTTGATCTTGAAGGTCCGGGGGCAGAGCGGGCAAGAATAAGGGCGGAGGTCCGAGTGGACCTTCTTGTGAGTGTTGAGACCCGAGCTCTGGGAAAAGCCTTTGCCACATTGGTCACAGATGAATGGCTTCTCCCCAGTATGCATCCTGATGTGTTTGACAAGGGCGTCCTCGATGGCAAAGCATTTGTTGCAGTAGTGGCATTCGTAAGGCCTGTTGAAATCGAACTCTTCGAACGGCTCGTTTGAACCGTGTGTGAGACGATGCTGACTGACTTCCTGCAACGTCGCGAACTTGAGATTGCACAACCTGCAAACATACGGTTCCGGGCCGTAATGAATCGTCAAATGCTCGGTAAACTTCAAATGGTTTAAAAAACATCTATTACAGAACTCGCAAAGGTAGTTTACAGGGATGTTGATCTCCGAGTGGTACTCGAGAGGGATGTCGGTATCCTTGTGAGTGCTTTTGTGTTTAGACTGCTCCGCGAAGGACGGGAAAGTCTGAGAACAGTACTTGCAGGAATAGGGGTTGTCCGTAACGTGGTCTTCCCTGTGCTTGTTTAAAATTTTCCCTTGGGCAAAATGTTTTTCGCAGTACTCGCAAATAAACAGTCGTGAGACCGTGTGCATTTCGAAACTATAGGACTGTTCGTCACCTTTGCCTTCGGTTTCTCCGTGTTTCGATTCCATGTGGGCCACCGCGAGAGTCGTCGTCGCGAAAGCTTCTTTGCAATTTTTGCACGTGAAGCAAGTCACTTCTTGAATCAGCCTGTGCGTTGATGTAACGTGGTTCCTGAGCATACTTTTGCGTATAAATCCTTTACCGCACCATTCGCAAACGTAAGGTTTACAATTGGTTCCTTGATGAGATTTTTCGTGATACTTTAAAGAGTTGACGGTGCTGAATATTTTTCCACAGTCGTCGCACTTATTTTTCTCGTTCCCGTGCAATTGAACAGTGTGTTTGTAAAGTTTGATTTCGTCCGGAAATCCTTTCCCACAAGTTTCGCAATATACTTGATTTATATTATTGTGAAAATGCATATGAAATTCTAGCCTAGATTGGGACCTAAAAGACTTACTGCACATCTTGCACTTTATCAAGGGTTTGTTGGTGTCACAGATATGATTGGTCAATTCGGCCTCTGTTTTGAAAGACATCTCGCATTCTTGGCATGCGTTGTTTTGCGGCTTGTGAGAAAATAGGTGGTCCACCATCGCCGTAGGAGAAGGATAGCAGACCTCGCACAGAACACACTGATAAAAGCCGTCCTCGAAATGAGAGAAAGAGTGCTGCACGACTGACGGGAACTCTTCGAACTCTTCTCTGCACACTCGGCATTTGTAGGTTTTTTCTTCTGTACTGCTTAACGTCGTCTCTTGTGTCGATTCGTCGGTCGAAATTTGGTTGATTTCACTTTTTATCTGTGAAGCCGGAAAAGGGGCTTCTTCTGGCAATGGCGCCTGTTCGGGTTCCGGCTCCTTTTCTTCCTTCTCTTTATTCTCTTCTTCCAGCTTCCCTATCCAGCCTTCGTAGCACAGTGGACAAGACTGTTCCGTCGGCTGCAAAGTCACGTCCCTTCCGTCCGTCAGTACGATATTTTTAGGGGTGTTTTCGCTCATCACCTCGTTCAGCCGGCTTTCCGAAGTAGTAGAAAGCTTGGCCAGATACGACAACGAGTTCAGTTGCTCTATACACGGTCCGCAAACCTGTTTGGGAAGATTGTCCATCATTTTAACATTTACCGGTAAAATACTATTGATTTTCTCCGCCAGTTCCAAGCGGCGACCCTCCTTGCTGTAAATGAAAATGCAGTCCCTGCAACCTTTGGCGCAGAGTCTGCAGATGAGCTCGTCGGCCGTCGTATCGTCCGATTTCGTCGGCCGTATCTTCTGTATGTTGCCGTATTTCAGGCTGTCGACGGCCGGGAGCTCGGGATTGATGCAGGGCACCGCCGTCCTCTTAAGAAGTGTAGTCGTATTTTTGACGAACTGATCAGTCCTGAAATGATCGCTGCAAATCGCCGAGTCGTTTGACAGGCTCAACCGATGCTTACCCGATATCATGGAGAGCCGTTGACAATACAGCACCCACTGGTGGCACCTAATCTCCTCCTGAGGGAAGTCGAAGAACACCTTGTCGTCGTTGGAAGCTTTGGTGTTTCCGCAGCCAGGCACCGAGCAGGCCACGTTGTTCACCTCTTCTTCCTTCTCACCTTCCGAAAGCGTCACTCCAGACATGAAATATTCCATCACTTTCTGCGTATCGAGCATGTTCTTTCCGTTCGACGTGATGTCAGTGAGGTCCAAAGAAATCCCGGCCTCGCATTCCACTCTCTTCTTCAAATCGATGAATGTCTCTTCGGGTTGGATCTGAAGAGTGACCGTCTCCCCAAAATTGTTCTTAACTACGAGCTTCATTATTTATATCTAGTCCGCTTTTGCGAATAAAAGTACCTGAAATAATACATTTAAATTAAATTCACCATGTATAAATGAAAAATTATAGAAAAAGAATGAAAAATGTTTTGAATTTTTCTTAAATTAATTCTTTTAAAAACATTTTTCATCTTCCCAACTATGGTTAGTTTTATGATTTATGAAATATATTATAATTCGATTTAATATGCACTCCTTAAATTGTTAATATATTAATTCCTCCACCTAATTTAATCATTTTAATGTGTCGGAGATAGTTCTGAAACTTTGCTTTGACAATTTTTCAATCAATGTTAAGTGGTTACTGTAAAAATATTTTTCATTCCCACCGACACCTTACAAAAGTTCAAGTCAAAGTGAGATGGTAGTCTTGTTTAAAACCAATTTACCATTTGGAATGGAAACTATTCTAGACGAGTAGATAATCGAATCTTGATTGCTTTGTGTTTGGGTATCAAATTTCAATGATATTAATTAATTATTATTTAATCTAATTTTCCACCTGGATGCATAAAAATTAAGAAAGTCACATAACTTGAAAAAAGTTGTTAGAACGTCGATGTTTACCTTTGGTTAGCACAAAATTAATTTTCTGATTAACGTTAGTATGTTTAATTGATATTCGTTATATTGATATTTACAAAATTTGTTTGAAGATGTTACTCTTAATTATCACACAGTAAAGCGTAACTTTCTCATAAATATCATACTTACTTCTGAGTAGGAAATAATTGTTTGGTTTAGTGACATGCATGCATAGACAGGAACCAACACCAAACCATAATTAATAAATGTAAACTTACGAGAGCAGTAGGTCCTCCTTGATGGAGTCCATTTCAATGATGACTTTGTAAAATAAATTATTCTCAGTCGACTGCCACCCGACCCTTTCCTTCAGTGTTACACAACACACGACGACAAAGACGAAACAATCCGTTTTTGTATATAATAATTAATTACAAATACACCAAGAACGTAGTTCGTATAAGAGACGACCTCCGATTAGAACCACCGGGTTACGAAATGATGGAAAATTTACATAATTCTTCGACTTAACATCGATGTTTTGTACTTTTTAATTATAGACATTAACTGCTCGAATGAATAAAAAATAATCCGTGAGTATACCATCAGTTTGAAGAAGATTAAGTACTCCATCAAAAAAACCCAGCAGGATATGATGTGTTCTTTCAGGATATCGATAGATTTTTTTTTTAATTGTGAAATTCGGATAATTCGTTTAAATGATGATGTAATGATATTCACTTCAAGAAATAATGTTTTAAATTTTTTATTTAAAATTATTTTTTGCATTATACACCAATATAAGTACGGTCTTCATAAGTACTTTTTGTTTTCATTATTTTATATTTTTCAAAAGGCACTTACGATACTTAAGTTAGTCTCATTTTTCTAATTTATATTTGTTTAAATTTGATACTTTGTTGTTGTGCAGCTCACCCTTTGTTTTTCCCTAATATCAAGCCATAAAGCCATTATTTGAAATGAAATAGTTTTTTACATAAAAAACTCTAATTATTTTTTTAATTACTATTTTGTGACACCTTGAATTATTTCATTAATGAATAAAAACTCAGAAAAACGGGAAATATGTTCTGTACATATCAAACTTATCAAATAATAATTAAAAAATCTATAACAAAAAGATATTTAATATGTTTGGCTTGTTAATATTTGAGGGTATAATTTTAGCAGTTTATTTTCTATTTCTATCTGTACTTCTCTCTCTCACTCCCCTTCTCCCTCCTTTCCTCACTCTCTCTGTCTTTCCTCTTCTCTCGTGCTCAATCGCACCATCCTTCTGTCTACTCTCCCTTCTCTCACTTTTTCTCTGAAAGACCCCTCTCTTATCTCTCTCTCTCTCTCTCTCTCTCTCTCTCTCTCACATACACACACACACTCTCTCTCTCTCTCACTTTCTCTCTCTCTCTCCTTTCCTCTTCTCTCTCGCTCAATCTCTCCATCCTTCTTTCTTCTTTCACTTTCTCTCTGAAAGACCCATCTCTGACCTCCTGTCTTCTCCCTCGCCCCTCACTGTGTTTCTCTCTCTGCCTCCCTCCCTCCCTCTTCATCTCCCCAAACGTTATTCTGGTTTTTATCAGTACATTTTGGTCGGCCTATCCTTGCTGCTTTGGTCGAAACGTAGTTCAATAAAACTAAACCTATTAGTCCAATTCTGATTAAAATGCAGAATAAAATACGATGAGAAGGATGTCAACACATTCAACGACATATAATCAGAGGAAGTAATTTCACCATAAGGGAGAAAATAAAAAAAATTATATACTCACAATTTCGTACGAGAAAATATCTTTGAGGAATTTTATGTTTTTCATAAATCTATAGAATAAGACTAATTGTGGGTGTAAACTGAAAGTATATCAATTCTTTATTTGTACTGTGTACGTGTTTAATTTTTCGGTTTATACAAACTCAACATACGTCCAAATAAAGCAATTTCCTTACAATTTAAGAAAATAAACAATTGTTTCTAGGGGTAAGTTTTATGTACAATTTAAGTATATATATAATTCATGTACAATTTAAGAAGACAAACAAAATGATTTACTTTAATTGCGTAGTGGCAAATATTTTTTAAGGAATTAGTTGTTTTTTCATAAATCCACAGAATGAGAGCCATTTTGGAAGTAAACTGTACGGAAAATCGATCCTTTTTTCGAATATAATACTCTAATTGAAATTATTTCAATTAAAGTATTATATTATTTTATATTACTTCAAAATTATTTTGAATCTCAAAATTTTAGCACTTTTATATGCCAACGATCGACTCTTAGAAAGTAAATAGCCAGGAAATCAATCCAATTTTTTTCGAAATCTAAGCATTTTGGACTTTTTATTAAGTTAAATAAAAATAAAACCCTTCCACAAGTCTATTAGTCTATTTCCAGGCTGAAATAGTGAATGATTTTTGAATCGTGAACGATTTAAAAAGTTTAACAACTTCTAACCAAGTGAAATACGAGAAGGGATAAAATAAAGAAGTTTTAACAATTTTTTTATGGGAAAATAATTTTCAATTCTATTTCTATTTTTATGGATTTTGAGATATTCGTCGGTTTTTCTTTAATCCTTAGAAACGGCCGACTTTTTTTGAAAGTAAACAGCATGGAAATCAATCCTATTTTTTTCGAAATTTAAGCGTTTTGGACTTTTTATTGGATTATATAAAAATAAAACCTTTCCACAAGGCTATTAGTCTATTTCCAGGCTGAAATAGTGAATGATTTTTGAATCGTGAACGATTTCAAAACGTTTAACAACTTCTAACCAAGTGAAATACGAGAAAGGATAAAATAAACAATAGTTTTAACAATTTTTTTACGGGAAAATAATTTTCAATTCAATTTGTATTTTTACCTATTTTCAGAATTCGTCGGTTTTTCTTTAAACCTTAGAAAAGATCGACTTTTTGGAAGTAAACAGTAGCAATTCTCTTTCAAGTTTAACAGAGTTTAAAACAGAACAGAGTTTATTTTTGCGGTTTATAGTTCCAAAAACAAAATAAAACACTTTTGAAACTCTAATGATAAACAAATAAAATTGTTTTGTTCACCTTCGTCGATCGTACTGTATAAAATAAAAAGGGACGAGGGCGATAACCTAAAAACAACTCTTATAAACATGGCAACCTGAATTTCTCAATTAATCCGGCAATAATGGTAGCCGTTTTTTCTGTATTGGAAAAATGTCTCAACCAGATTTTAAAAATTGCTTTTCATTTTTAGAAAAGTATGAAAAGTAAAGGTTCATTATTTTCAAAGGAAAAACCTTCGGAAAACCGTCCGTACTGGACGGGTTTGTCAATAGTTTTCTGTTACTTTCGGTGGCTGTTAATCATTATTGTTCACTGAATACATGATAAGCTATTACGAGATACGAACAGATTTATCATGTTTTTTTATGTTTAACGGAACAATTTCAAAAATCATGTCGCTTACCTAGGAGAGATAATGGCGAGTAGTCGCAGGTAAAATGTGGGAGCGGAGCGAGCTAACGTCGTGCGGATCAGACCAAAAAGACGGGAGTCGTAAAATAAAATCGTCACAAACACGTGCGTCAGCGCGAATTCAGGGAGCCTCGCAACGGCCAGACGCAGGTTATCGTCGCGTCGTCAGGTTAACCGGACCTGGGAACACTTTCGACGGTGGTGCGGACACTTGCGACGCTTCTCGACCTGCCGACGACGACCACGCGCCCGCGCTTCTCGATTTAGAACGGATTGACGGTTTTCCAATCGACGACCGATTCGCGGGACAATATTTTTTTATTTTTTTCAAATGTGAGTTTTTACCTTTGGCTTTTTTTGTTTTGTCACAGCTGAGCCGAACTCCTGAACAAGTGACTTGCCGCCTTTCTTTTAATCCGCTATTTTTCAAAAGTTCTCTTTTACCGCCAGTGCTTTTCTCTCGGATTGACCAGCAAAAGATTGCCAATTGCCAATGTTGCCCATGGACAATCTCTTCTGAAACACACAATCGCACACGACAATACACAAAACGTATTTATGTCCCGCAAAATTTTTTTGATTTTTCTCGCCATTTCGACGTTTTTCTCGCAGAAATTTTTAGTGCCCATAAAACTTTTAGATGGTTTAATTTTACCACTCAATCTTAAATGTTGCAAATTGTCAAATGCGATTACAATATTCCCTAAAAGAGCTTGTCAGGCCGATGCAGAGACAATAAGATAATAATAATATCATGGGGTTGCTTATACGCCCGCCCCGAGGAATATTGAGTACTGGGGTGAGTGTGTGACGTCTGGGGGGTAAAAGTAAGTTATTAATGAGAATAGAATGGGGTTCAACTCCGCCCCGAGGAATATCGACTACTCTGGGGTGAGTGTGTGAGGTTTGAAGGGTAAAAATAAGTTATTAGTGAGAATGGAGTGGGGTTCAACCCCGCCCCGAGGATTTTTTTTTAAATTTATTTATTTAGTACCTGATTCCATAGTGATTTCAGGTATTCATAACCATATACAATTATTATTTACAATTAATTTATACAATTTTGCTAACAAAATTATTTAAGGCTTCAATGTGGTCTCTAATCAAACTGTGATGATTGGGTGGCCATTGTCCACCTTTTCATACAACATCCCTTATTAGAGATTTTCGGCGTGGTTCTTGAATGGGGCAGTCGAATAAGATGTGGTCCCATGTTTGTTGAGGCCTCCCTGGTCAGTCGCATTCCGAATCCCGTGTCATGTGGAATCTATAGAGATATTCGTCCATGGCCGCTTGTAAGTTGGGTAAGCATATGGTGGTGTTTCAGTTCTACTGCCATCCTTGATTCTACCGTTGGGAAGAACTTTGTAGTTTGAAAACCTTTAGCAGTACGTCTCCAACGTTCTTCCCATTGGGCCAATGTCATTTTCGAGGCCTGGAGATGACGTAGCTTTTCGGCACTACTGCGATTGTTGTTTCTAGTTCAGAGTTTTCTGTAGCTTCCTTTGCTGCTGCGTCGGCTTCCGCATTACCTTGGATCCCTGTATGCGCTGGTACCTTTTCAATACGATCTTCTAGCCATTATCACGCAATGATTTTATCATATTTCTGATGTGGATACCATCAGGCTTCGTGCTTTGTAATTTTTAATTTTATCAATGGATGTGCGGCTGTCTGTCATCACTATCGCGTTTTTGTTCACTTCCCCAACATCCTGCTGTGCGAGCCATTGAAGAGCCTTCAGGATAGCAATGAGTTCAGCTTGGTTGTTCGAACACCAGCTAGCGAGTCTAATTTGTATTGTTTCTTGCAGGGTGTTGTCTTTTCCATAGATGACTAGGGCTTCTCCAACCTCATTATTCATTTTGCTCCCATCGGTGAATATTACGATCTTGTCTTGCCATGATACTGACTCTGTGATTCCTTGAGTTCTATAAGCCGGATGGGGCCATTCATTTAAAGACAGTGTGGGTTCCACGATAAGTGCAGGAAAGGCTTTGTTGTTGAGTGACTTTTTTATGGTGAAGTAGATATCGGTTAGCTCCCTTAGTTTAAGCTCAATCGGGGCTACCCCTGCCATGATACAACCAACCCGCCCCGAGGAATATCGAGTACTCTGGGTTGAGTGTGTGACGTCTGGAGGGTAAAAGTAAGTTACAGTGAGAATGGAGTGGGGTTCAACCTCGCCCGAGGAATATCTAGTACTCTGGGGGAGTAAATGTGACCAGACATCTATGTTTGTGGTAATGTGTATATATGTATATATATTATATGTTTTGTTCCTATTCTGTATTTGAGAACCTGAGGTAGAAACGAGAGGCTAGCATTTTAGAATGTTGGGTGTTTCTTGGCCATTTTCTGTGAAAAAGTGTACTGCTGATTCAAATGGAACTCCATGGCATACTACTCTGTGGGTGGTGTCCTGATGATCAGTTGTAACCAGTGCTGTCTCAACTCAGTTATATCTGTCGTTTTCTATCTTGACATAGCCCTAAAGTAATATCGTATATTGTTATATATCGTTGGCAATGGTTTGTCCATAATACTCTAAATATATAAAACTTGTTTTTTTTTATGTTTTAATTTTTAATTTTTTTTTAAATTTTTTACTTATTTTTTTAAGTGAATCATGTCAGTTATTGTTTAAAAATACTTTTGAAACCGAGTGGTGATCTCGTTGACCTCAACTGAAGGCTCTACAAAGAACAGATAAAGTGGTTGTTTTCAAAAGACTTCACAAATCTTCATATAACGGAAGTTTAAAACCCAATAACTGCATGTAATGGCAAAAACCGGCCTCTGTAATTAAATTAGAATTGAACCTACAAGAAATAAAACGCTAAAAAAATTTAAAAAATTTCTAATTTTTATATTGTTGATTGAATCGAACAAGGTTTGTAATTGTAATGATGTGGCTTTTTTTTCAAAGGTAATCTCATTGAGATTGTAAATTAATACAAATATTTAGGAGTCATATTTACCCTGAGACTCTCTTGGACAAAGCACTTCTCTTGGAAAGTCAGGGGCAAAATTAGCTCCAAATAATACATGGCCAGCCTTCAAACTTCAAGATACTATCCCTATTAAAGTCAAGTTTAACATTTTTAATATTAAATATGCCGTGCAATTCCGTGTTATGGCTGTCAAATATGAGGATATCAGAGTTTCGAAACAATAGAAAAAGTACAACTTTTTTTTTATACGAAAGTTATTCATATTGCCATCTGGGACACTAAACGATGTATTTAGAAACAAAAATAGATTTAGTTTTGGTGTATGCACTTAAGCTTCACTACTCCTATATTCATATTGAACTGGCACACGGCCACTTACCGGGTCTTTTCACTCGCGGGTTTTTGTTTGTATTATTCAAACGCGTTTCGGCATTTTGCCGTCATCATTGAGGAACTCGCAGACCAAAACCCATCATCTACTACTCCTATGTTGTGAAAAGTTCTGTTGTCTCCCGATACTAGATACCCAAAAATTACAACTTTGGCGGTAAATAAGTCTTATATTTCATGGTTTGCACACTGTAAATATTTCGATCTAAAGGAGAGCAAAGACGGGAGCCCGACTGGGTATGTTTAGGGTTGTAATCCCCTCCATCCAGAAAAGTTAGTCCCAGAAATGAGAACTCCCTATGCTGGTCACTTGAAATGGAGTGCCTGGGTGGGCAATAGACCGCTGTAAAAGCAATTGTCATGTTGAAGCATTGTAGAGAAATGGTAGTACTTTGAAATGGTGGTGTTGTGTAAGGCGGTAGGTGGTAATGTAAAGTAATAGAAAACGTAAATAACAATCCATTATATTTAGTGATCTGATCGACCAATTAATCTTTTTATGTACGGTTTTGGTAGAAATGAAAAAGTTAGTGTCACGAGCGGGATTCGAACCACGACCTTCGGCTTGAAAAATGGCAAAAAGAGGTAAAATTCGAACAGTTGTAGGTTGAGATGAGTTGGTGTCAGAGTGGATCTAAGTCACGATAGCTCAGGTGGTTAGGGCAGGGGAGCATTGAACCGAAAGTCGTGGGTTCGAATCCCGCTCTTGACACTAACTTTTTCATTTCAACCAAAACCTTACATTAAAATTAATTGAAAGTAAATATCAATTTCTGACCACTTGCCCTAACAAAGATTTACTTTCCAGTTTATATTTCATATGGCCTGTTTAACACAAAGTTATTTTTGAATTAACGTATTATTGCAATAGCGTGCTTATCACTGTGTAATACACATATTTAACCTTTATTGATTTTCTGGAATTGCGAAGAATCCCTACTCGTTCTTCTAAACTTTTTTTTTGCTTTGGTGCAGAGGCACATCTGCCGTGTCTGCAGGATGTTCATTTAATACCACTAGTTTATATTCTTATAATTATTTATTTGAAGTTATTATTAAGGAAACTGTTTCATGGTTTACATTTTTGTATTGTTTTATTCATTTATTTTGTTGTAGGTCCTCATTGACACTCTTTAAATGTTATTCTTTTTATGATTTCTACTATTTTGTCCAATAGGGGGACATTGTAAATTGACTAAGTAGAGCGCTTAACTTTGGTGGCAATTGGATATGGTTATTTATCAAGAATTGATAAAAACCTTCCCTGTCTATGTTAGTCCAAGGGCACGCAAAAATAGTGTGGTCTGCATCTGCAGTTAATTCAGTGTTACATTCACATTTATCAAAGGCAAGTAGGTTATTTTGTGCAAGTAAGCAGGCAGCCTATTAAGATTTTTGATATTTATTCATCAAAACTTCAGAGGCGCCGAGACAAATCCGCCCCTTTAAACCTCGGACGAATTGTGTCCGAAAATCTCGCGAGCGAAGTGTATGTTTTTATGTTTCATTTTCGAACAAATCACGACATTTGGATGTGGGTGGAGATGGTATCACTTGTTCTACACGAAATGTAAGTTCATGTGTTGTGTTTTGCCGGAGGGGTTCCGGGACCTTGTGTTGTGGGAATCGGCTCCAGTTTTAACTTATGGGCATACATGTAAAAACCGACTGAGATTTATCAATTTGGCGTGCGTTTAAGTGTAATTTATCAAATTCTCCCATACCCTTTCCTTTCTGATAATTAAGTTCCGCTACACCTTCACGACTTCTTCCTTCTTTCTTTTGTTTTTTTCTATTACATTAATCCTAGAAGACGTTAACACCTTCATTTCCCTTTAAACTATGACCCCTAGATAGAGTAGTGAAAATATATAATATCAATAATTTTGCACTAAAATTCCAGCTATAAGTACTTGTTTTGTACTGCGCTCAATAAATAATAAAAATACAATGAAATGTAATTACGTCTTTCTTTTCTTTAATGATGTAAATACAAAGTATGATGACTAACCCATTAAATAATTTTTCCTTTCCTTCCTGGCTTCCGCATGGACTGTTTTACGAGGGTTTTTGGCCTTAATACTTTTAATTTATTTTTTAATTAACAGATAACATTGGGATGTACAAGTTTGGAGCACAGTGACCCCAGGACAAATTCCCTTTTTCATTCCTGAATTATTGGCAAAGCTTATTTTAGCAATGCTGGGTTGCGTCAGGGGAAAATTTGTAATTAAAATAACCGCTTCATCTTACATTCTAATTTATATTACAAATTAAATCAATTAATAAACAATGAATAAATAAATAAGTTAACATAAATATGTACAATTGCAATGTAACACTTAAATACATACATAAGCTTCTACATTAAATAAATAAATACAATTATTTATTGGCGTTAATTCCA